GCACACGGGCCCATTGGCACAGGGCGGGAACCAATCAGAAGGCCCGCTGTGCTCCTGGGTGGTCCCAGGGCTGCCAGGGGGGCTGCTCCCTGGAAGATGACGGTGGCTCCAGGCCAGTGACACAGGACCGGCCCAGGCCCCTCATCCTCTCCTTGGGATCTCAGTGCTACTTCCCCTGAGTCCTGGTGACACCTTCCCTGCTCACCCCGCCCCCCAAGAGTTGAGCAATCTGGTGGAGTTACCCGCTAGGGAGGGCAGGGGAGAAGCTTTGTTGCCACTTTACAGCCTTTCCCCCTGGAAAAAGCTCTAGAGCAGCTTCTTGATTGGTCCAGAAGTGGGCGCTCCTAGCCCCAGGAAGATGTTTGGGCCTTTGTGAGTCTAAGGCCGCCCCAGCCTTAGGATCCCTTGCTAATAGGCACATGGTTTCCAGATCTAAGGAACTGGAACTAGGTGGGCGGTTTATTTCTATCCTGTTTGCCAACAGGAAGGTTAAAACGATTGGGAGGATAGGAAAGTTGAATCTGAAAGATCATAGAATCCTGCACCTCCACTGGCTGTAAGAGACTGAGCAAGTTACTGTACTCTCTGAACCCCAGTCGCCCAATTTGTATAAACAGTTATAACAAAAGAACCTCTCTGCTAGGGTTGGGGTAAGTTTAAATGAAATAATACAGGCAAAGCAGTTAGTCAGGTGGCTGGCCATAAGCACTCAGTAAGGGGCAGTCACCTGTTTTTAGAAGCGGTACAACAGTACTGCCCAGAGCTAGAGAAATTACATAATAGCATTTGACGGATGTTTTCACCTTCATCTAATTTTTGTTTATTCATCTAATTTAGTTATTCATTCATTTAACCCATTAGTGCATTCAGCATATAGTCTCTAGGCATCTACTCTCTGTAATACTCCAATTTCCGTCTACGTGCTACCGAAGTGAGCACATACTGCCTGGGCATCTACTGCCACTCAGTTCATCCCTGTCCAGGCATACCTAGTGGGATCCAGCCCCCAGGCCGGTTGCCACTTTCTTCACAAGAACTGATGGAGTCTAGCCTGGCAGAAGGCTCTCCAGGAGATCTTGGCCCCATGGCAGTTGGGGGTTTGGAAATTGTTTTCTGCAGCTCTGCCTCCTGTGGCTGAGGGGCCTGAACAGAGCAGTCAGTACATGTTTCCACAGCCGCTTTTGTTCCCCTCACTTGTGGGGAGGAGTGCCCCCTTCTCCTGAAGGCCCCAATTGGAAAGCTGGAACCTACTTTCTCCGTAGTGGGACTCCCGTCTCCTGGGACTGACCTCCACACTGTGTTCTTGTAGCGCTGTTCCCTTCCTGGCCTCCCTGTGCATCTCAGCACCCGGCTCCAATTTGGCTGGAGTGATCACACCACTACTCATGCTTGTTTGGGATCATCTAACTTCTCTGGGCCCCTCATCTTTGTACCCCTCACCCCTCCAACTTCATGCCCCCATATACTTGGGCTGTGTGACAGAGACAGGGGGAGGGGAGGCACTCTCCAGGCACGTCTGAGTGACAGAGGTGCTTCACACATGCACACTTCATAAATAGACTTCTCATGTGTGATGAGGCCATGCTGTTGGGAGCAGGTCAGGTGGAGCAGCTGGCTCTGCTGCGAGCATCACCAGGAGGTGATGTTTGGGCAATCTTAAAGGATTTAGCTAGGTAGACAATGGGAGAAAGGGAATTCCAGTCAAGGAAAATAGCATTCACAAAAGCCTGAAATTGCCTCATGTTCTTAGATAAAATATAATGTGTGAATGGGAAAAAAAAAGGGACTATGTTATTTGGGGTTGAGTGTTCATGAGTAGCAGAGGGAAGAAGTGAGGCCAGAAAGCTGAACAAGGGACCTTCTCATGCGCACCTTGAAAGCCACCACTGGGAGCCTGGGAACGGCTTTACACAGGGGCCTCACATTCAGATTTATATGTTAGGCAGGTGAGACAAATGACTGTGAGGGGATGGATGGTCTCATTTGTTCGCTAGCAAACTCTGTGAGGCAGACGGGTCGACACTATTATCTACTTGTTACACTTGAGAACACTGAGGCCCGAGCAGTTAAATATCTTGCCAAAGGTCTCAGAGCCAAGAGCCAGAGAGCCGAGCACCTCGGACGCACCTGGCTTCCTGGCTCTGAATCTCTTCCTCCTGGGCATGCTGCCATTGTGAACAGAGTCTTCTAGAAAGCTGCCTGCAGCTTCATAGCGGGTAGATGCTGACAGGAGCAATATGAAGCTCATGGTCATTGATACGATCTTGCTGAAGGAGTGTAGCACTGGGATTTTGCGGCCTGTGGTCTTCAGTCTCCTGACCCATACGCCAGGGCACAGGCAGCAAGGTGCAGCGGGGAGCTGTGAGCCTCAGGCCCTGCAGTGCTCGGCAAACTCCATTCATCAGTGCCTCGCTCATTAATTCAGAGCAGCATCTGCTGCCTGGTGCTGGCATTTGTCAGTGGCTTGTTTCTGCAAGCCCCCGGTCTTCCAGGTTGGTCAGCTTTGTAGTCCGCACCCCCAGGCTGAACCCTGGCAGTCAGAGGCTGGCCCCTTCTCTGTCTGCGGTTTGTAAAATGAAATAACTTTATTTTTTTAAAAAGTAACATCTAGCAACACAGAACACAAACTTAGAGATCAGACAGGCGTAGCTCTTGAGTTCTGCTGCTGCCACATAGCTAGCTATGGGCCTCAGTTTTCTTATCTCTAAGGTGGGCGCAAACCTCCCTGGAAGGATTATTGGGATGATTAAGATGAGATGATGTTTACCGAGTGCCTTCACATGCTGCTTGGCTTTTATACATCCTCAATATTTAGTGACTTTAATTCCTGCTGTTATTGCTGCACGACTACTGCTGCCATCACAGTTAAAGACTCTTTGAAAAACAGAGAACAGAAGAAAAAATATCTTATAATCCTACCATCATGATGCAGCTACCATCATAATTTATATTTCCTTCAACTCTTTTTCCCCCCACAACTCCAGAACATATCAGATTTTATAGCATATTTATTTTATAGCCATGTTTATTCATTATTTTTCTTCTGTAGTGGGTACATTTATTTTTCCTATTTTGAGTAATTTGTTTCTGACTATAAGATTACTGTATAAAATTTAGAGAACATAGAAAAAGCAAAAGGACAAACCATACTTTTAATGCATACCTCATTCCTAGCCCTGAGGCTATCACTATAGACTTTTTTTTTTTTTAGATTTTATTTATTTATTTGAGAGACAGAGAGTGAGCGAGAGAAAGCATGAGCAGGGTGAAGGGGCAGGGGGAGAAGCAGACTCCCCGCTGAGCAGGGAGTCTAATGCCAGGCTCGATTCCAGGACCCCAGGATCATGACCTGGTGCAAAGGCAGATGCTTAACTGACTGAGCCACTCAGGTGCCCCTACTATAAACTTTTAATGTATCTTCTCCAGTCTTTTGTTTGTATTTTATTACAGAGTCAAGATCACATTACATATGCAGTTTTTAAATGATTTTTCAGTTCATAGGATATCATGAGCATTTTTCTTTGTTGTAAGCATTATTTTTCAAAGCTACGTAAGAGTCCATCAGATGGCTCCACCATAATTTACATAAGCATTCCTCTGTTGCTAGACATCTAAGTTCTTTCCAATTCCTCAATCTAAGCAGCTTCTTATGAGGGAACCTAGGGACCCAGCCTCGGTGTAACCAGGAAGCATAAAGTGAACTTGTGCTGTGTGTATGGTCCTGGGCGAAAGAAGGTGGAACCCCTCAGGCAAATTAGACGCTGAGCCTGCCTCAAGAGAGTTCAGAGGGAAATATTTATTGGTATGAAATATGCAGGTGTTTCTTTGCCCGACACTGTCAGGGAGTTCACCTAAGTGCAGGTATCTCTATTCCTGTGGAAGCTGGGATCTGGAACACGCAGCTTTTACAAAGACAAAAGTCTCAGAAGCTTTACTGACCCTTCTCACCTACCAGTGTGCTATTAGGCCTCCAATACTCAAATGTCTTTTGAGCCTGTTACCTTGACTGCCAGGGGCCTGTGCTAATGACCTTTGAATATCACTTCCAAGTGGTTTTCACTGGGAAGGGGTGAGAAGCTACAGCATCAAGAAAGGAACTTGCATGAGCCTCAGGAGAATCAGAGATCTCCCAAGCCTCAGGAGAATCAGTCTTTGTTTTGATGCACACTTGCTCCGGCACCCGAGGCCAGTTATTTCCTCTTACCGAGCCTCTGTTTTCTCCTCACAACGTAGAAAGATTGGACTAGGTGATCTCCAGGGCCATTCCAGCATTGATGTTCCGTGGGGACCTGAAGTCTTCCTTTTGCTAGGAGCTGAAGTGAGCATCCTGATAAAGGTCACAGGATGCTTCTCCAGAGTCCAGAGTTTCTTTTAATTAGTGCCTGGGGAAGCACTGATGCTTTTATATTCCCACTTCCTCCTGGTAGCGGCTGGGCTGAGTAGAGACTGAAAGGCAGGAAGTGCTGCTCGCTGGGTGAAAACACTAGAACCCCAAAGGATTGTCTCTTATGTAGTAGGTATTTTTTCTTTCATGTACTTGGTTTTTTCATTCGTTCTCTTACTTAGCAGATGTTAACTGAGCCCCAGACCTTATACAATCCAGAGGTGAATGAGACTCAGGCCTGTTCTCAAGACATATGCAGTCTAGTGAGAGACAGGAACAGGTGTAAAGGTAATAAATGAATTGCTTTGATGGGGGTACAGATAAGTTGCATAATAAAGGGAGCACTTGAGTCTACCTAGAAGCAGAGGAGTCTCAGTGGACACAATGAGGCTTTAAAGGATGAGTGGAAGTTTTCTAGGCAGACAGTCGAGGAGAGGGCATTCCAAATAGAGGAGCCACATGTGCAAAGGCCCGGAGGTATGAGAGTACATGTCGTGTTCTTGGTGTGACTGGAGGTGAAAGGGACAGTGAAGCAGATGAGAAAAAGTCAAGTACTTTTCCTTGGACAAGGAATTTTCTTTCTTTAATATAACTTACTATTTTTTTCTTTTTGTAGGTCTCTTGTGGCTCTGAGCATAATCTGGCAGTGATTGGTAAGTAATTAGTATAGTGATAACTGTGTGTGTTCTGAAACTCCTGTGGTAGAGTTAGAGAAGACTTTTGGTTAACCAAAGGCCGAGGTGCATGTGTGTGTGTGTACATGTTGGGGGAGACTCTAGGAAATGGAAGGCTTTGATTGCCCAAGGCTTTACTAGAAGCCCCTTCTCTAAAACTTTCTATCCACATCATTGAGCATCTTTTTAAGGTACCTAAGCTGGCCTCCCTGCCCCAGGCAGTGGCATTTGAGGATATTAAAGATTTCATAGGCCAGGGATATCATGTGTAGAAAGCCAGACATAAAAGGGGAGAAGGATTGGGCTGCTCCTATTTCTCTGAATAAATCCCTTGCTCCACCTCTTTCCTCTTTCTTTGGAAACATGGGGCTCTGCTCGCTGCCTCCGCTGCCTTGTAAGCACCATGGCACTTAGGAACCCCCAGATGAAACCAACCTTCTGATTAGTTGAGGTTTCCTCCTAACTGATTCTGGATAATCAGGGTTCACTGTTTTTACACTTAGGCCTATGAGTAATTTCTTCAAGAAGCTTCCTCATTACTTCTCCGGGTAGACCAGTCTCCATATCACAGTGCATTAAAGAGACACGAGTATAGGGCCCAACTGCCTGAATTTAGTACAGGCTTCCCCTTGCTAGTTGTGTGAAGTTGGGCGAGGTACTTAACCCTTCCATGGGAGGGCAGTAGTGCCTACCTTCTAGGATTGTTCTGAGGGTTCCAGGAGTTTATTTATATATATATATATATATATATATATATATATATATATATATATACACAAATAAATATATATAAATACACACACACACATATGGCACATAGAACAGTGCTTAGGTCCTAGTAAGGGTTTTAGAAATATTCCTTGTTACTATCTTTTTAAAAAATATTTTATTTATTTATTCATGAGAGACACACAAAGAGAGAGAGAGGCAGAGACACAGGCTGAGGGAGAAGCAGGCTCCCTGCAGGGAGCCCGATGTGGGACTTGATCCTGGATCTCGGGATCATGCCCTGGGCTGAAGGCAGACACTCAGCCGTTGAGCCACTCAGACGTCCCTCATTGTTATTATCCAATATGTGTTCTAATTGCCCTCCTTGGGGCTTTAAAATGGAGGGATTAAAAATCAAGGTTCCCTCCTGCTCTGATATTTTAGGATCCTGTTACAAACCCATCACTGCCTGCATTCTGTTGGTGATTTCTGTTCCTAGCTACTTCTCTCCCAGCCTTTGACTCAGCTTCTGAAGGCCAAGACCCCTGCATTCTCCTTTTGTTTTCTGCTTATTTGCAGCACCCAGAGCAGTGCCTGGTACTCAGCAGAGACTCGGGTACTGTTTTCTGAATTGAGCTCAGACTGCCTCAGCCGCCTGCGGTGGCAGCAGTTTGAAGCACTACTCTGTAGGCCTGAACGTGATGTGCAACGAGGCAGAACCAAGGACAGCTGAGGAGGTAGGCTGCCAGCCAGCAGAGGGGGTGGGGAGTAAACTGGGCTAGAGTCAGAGAAGGAGCGAGAAAATATAACAGCAAACCTGCATGCTTTGCAGCAGCACCAGATACTTTATACCGGAACTGCTTCAGCCTGGGTGTAATTAAGACAAGCTAATCAGAGAATCAGAGGTGGTGCCTAGGATGCTGCTGCTGCTGCTGCTTTCACTGGTCTAGGAGAGAGGTTGGCTCCCTCTGTGAGCCGCACAAACAAGAAGATTGCAGGGAATCTAAATACATGAAAGAGCACAATCCAGATGAAGGAGGGGCCGGAGCCAGCAGGGCGCAGGCTGAGTGACAGAGGCAGCCTAGGGCTGCAGAAAGAGCATAGACTCTGCAGGCAGGCAACCTTGGTTCACACCAGCTTCGTCTCTGTGTGAGCTTCCGTTTCCCCCCCTCATCTACGTAATGAGGAGAATTCCACTTTGCAGGATTGCTGTGAAGATTAAGTATGTGAGATACCTGGTATATAAGGGGTGTGAGAGAAATGTGTGTGTGTGTGTGTATTTTTATAATTCTATTTGCTTCTCATTTCTCTTGGTCGGGGTGGGGGCGGGGGGGAGAATGGCTTGCTTGTGTAACTGTGCTAGTGAAGTGATTGTCACTGGGGAGAGAGAACTGATACCATGCTGCAAAGGTGTCCAGTGTTATACCCAAGTGAGGAGGACGTCAGAAGCAGCGGAGAGCAAGGTGTGCCCGTGAGCTCCTGGAGGGCAGACGTGTTCTTTCTGTTTTGTCCTCAGTGCCCTGGTCTTGGCTCACAGGCTGTTGCGTGCATGGTTGCAGAGTCGGGAAAGGGCCCAGGCACATGGCCTCGAGCATTTCTACCTGCCTGCACCTGAGTTGGCAGCAGAGGCGCCCACCACTGGCATGATAGGGCCCCCGGGTGCCCGGCCCAGCGCGGGCTGTGCTGGAAGCCGCGAGAAGCACGGTTGGCTCTGGCAGAAGGCCAGAAGCGGGAGACAGCCCGAGGAGGAGAGCCCTGCGGCCTCGGGTCTCGCAGCCAGCTCCTCCCCACAGCCCTCCTACGGTGCCTGCCGATGGATTCCTCTGGTTTATGTCTCATTCCCCGAGACCTGGGCCCTCTGTGCCTGGTGCCGGGTCTCACGTGTGATAGGCGCCAACGGTTTCAGAATAGACTAGAACAGAGGATGAGGAGGCCAAACTTTCCTCAAGTGTAGAAACGGTTTAGTGCCTAATGAAGGTGCCACAGACAAACCAGGAAGGGACGTGGAATAGAGGTGGGTGGAAGGACAGAGCTGAGGACCTGCTCTGTCTTAGAATGGACAAAGCATATTTGTTGCGCCCATTTTATAGAGAAGAAACCTGAGACTCAGAGGTTCGACAGGTTGTCCGGGGGAAGTAGCGATAAATAGTAGAGCTGTCTACCTGACTTCCAACACTGCTCTTTCTACCCTGTCACATCCTAGGACCTGAGGCAGTATGGGGGGTGGTTAGGAAGAGCACAGGCACTAGGTCAGATTGCTTGATTCAAATCCTGACTCCTACACTTAAGGGCTGTGTAACCTTATAGCAGTGGCTTAACCCCCCTGTGTCTTGATCACCTCATCTGAAATATCATATTATTGACCTCATGAGGTTGTTATGTAAAGTGCTAACAGTGCTTGGCACAAAAGTAGAGGCTCAATGAATGTTAGCTGGTATTATTATTATCACTATCATCATCATCATCATCATCAATCATATATTAAGACTTCAAGGAAGGAATTGTAGGATGAGCATAAGAAGGCTTGAGGCTCAGGGTGGGAACCTCAGAAGAGGGAAGTGTCTTCCCCAGAATGCCGGGGACCAGTGCAGGATCTCAGCCTAGCTGCAGAAGGGATTTGTAAAACTTGGAGTCTAGAGACCCCAGTCTGTGGGGATCTGGAAATCCCGACTGCCCTGGAAACAATGCCAGACCAAATTTGTTTCAGATCAGGCTTCTGCTATCCCCTGCCCCAGACAGGGATTCAGAACGTGCATGTTCCAGCTGAAGCAGACCCCACAGCAGCCTTACTTAGGTTTCTTAGTAAGCAGAATAATTCTACTCTGCTACTTCATTTGCTTCCAGGTTTCTTTTTCCCCTTATTTTGCAATTTGGTTTGGTTCTTTGCTTAGTTTTCCAGTGAGGCTTCTTTTGACATATTCTGTGTCTGCCACCAGGCATTGCCATGGCTAGACAGGATGGTGAGGTGGTACAAGTTCCCACTTTGGACAAAGGAGGAGCTGCTGGAGCTCGGCATAGAGAGAAACTCAAGTGACCATCAGGAAGGAGGCCAGAGGCCACAGCTGGCTTGGCCACTTCTAACTGTGTGCCTTATTACATAGTCGTTCCACCTCAAGGAGCCTGATCCCTCATCTGTACAGTCAACCTACCCCTGAAAGTTGTTCTTCCAAATGGCATAGGTAAGTCAGGTGCCTGCTCAGCGCCTGCCACATAACAGGTGCTCAGCAGGTGCTCGTTCACTTGGCAGGTTCCTGGGCCATTTCTTTCTTTCTGCCTTCCCACCTAGGATTTCCCTCTACCTCTCACAGAGCTGGCTGACTGGCTCCCATTCGTGGGCATAGCCTGAGGTCAGCAGAGGTGACATGAGGGCATGTGACCACACTTACTCAGAAGATTCCTGCCTACCAGAGGCTGCTCCCAGGCCCAGCTCTGTCTTCGGGGCCCTCACCTCCATGTCTGGCTGAATTGGCTCCAGCTGTTCTGCTTCCCCTAGGAGCAGCTTATTTTGGCTTGAATGGGCAATTTGTTTGCCTTCTCTCCTGATGTGCAGTTGTTCAGCCTTCCCTTCCTGCAGAGAAAAAAGAGCTGACTGCATTTCCTCTCTCCCAGCTCCACGCAGACCTTTGGAAAGGATTTTATTGGTGGCCTTTTCCTGGAGCATTCAGGCTTGCCAGACAGGCATTGTTAAAGGGTTAGATATTTGGCAGGAAAGTGTCATGCCTCCCCCTCCTCCTCCTCCAAGCAAAGCCAGCTTTTACCAAATTGGAGCTATAATCTATGTAAAGATCTTTTTCCCCCTTCGTTTTGTGATGATTTCCAATTACTGAACCTTTATACCTTTATAATACGTGTGGCATAGCATCTGACCTTGGCTTGAAACCCATCAAACAGGGTCATATAAGAATTTAATAGTGAAAACTAAATCTTTTTTTGACACTGGCTGTTCCTCTGAGAGGTAATACCTCCAAACCCCAGGGCCTTGCAGAGAGCTTAGGGGCAAGTATAAACTTGTATGGTCCTATACACAGTGTGATTGGCAAAGCGTAAATGCTTTATATTATCTCATTTAATCCTCAGAGCAAATCGCTGATTGGTGCTGTTGTTAACTCCATTTTCTAGATGAGGGAAGCTGAAGCGTCGGCTGAGGAGTTTGTTAGGAGGAATCAGTGTGTCAGGTCTTTAACCCAGGCCTCTAACTTCAGAGCCTGTGGTCCACTACCTCACGCTGCCTTCCACGCTGTCACTTCCAGTGACAGTCCAACCTGTTCTTA